CCACTTTAGCTAAATTTTCTTTTTTTGCATATTTTATTAATTTATTTTGATTTATCAACAATCACTTCCACATGCTTTTCAGTTTAAAATTTTTCTCCCCCTTCCTCCCCACCACCCTCCCCAAAACGGTACACAATCTGATTTAGGCTATACATTTACATTCCTATTAAACATATTTTCACATTAGTGAAGTTGTAAGTAAAAATTAAAACCAATAGAAGGAACCACCAGAAAGAGGAAACAAAACTCAACAGAAGAGAAAAAAAAGATAGCGATTCAACTTTCACAGTTATGATTACTATCTGTGTCTTTTTCTCCATCCTTTTTCCCCTGTTTATGCTTTTCTTCCTCCTCTCTCCCTTCCCCCCCATCACCAGTACTTTGCTTTTGACCACTGCCTCCTTCAGTCTCCCCTCCCTTCCATCCCCCCTCCCTTTTCTTTTCCCCTTTTCCCTCCTACTGCCCAAAGGGCAAGTTAGATTTCCATGCCTAACTGATTATGTTATTCCCTTCTTGAGCCAAATCTGATGAGAACAAGGTTCAAACAATGCTCACCCCCTTTGCTTCTTTACCTCTGCCGTAATAGGATTCCTCTGTCTTTTCCTGTAATGTAATTTACACTTGTCTGCTTCCTCCTTTCTCAGTACATTGTCTAAGATCAGACTAATCCACTTAGTTGGATCCATTTAATACACTTGATTAGTTTTTTTTTACATTACATCAAAGTCAACTAATATCCACCCCTTTATGTATACTCCTTTAATATGGTGTAATAACAATACAGTTCTCAAGAGTTGCAAATGTCATCTTCCCTTGTAGGGATGTAAACAGTCTGCCCTTATTAACATCTTGTATCTTTCTGTCCCATTTACCTTTTTATATCTTTCTTGAATTTTGGACTTGAAGATAAAATTTTTTGTTGAAATCTGGTCTTTTTATGAGGAAGTTTTGGAAGTCCCCTATTTTGTTGAATATCCATCTTCTCCCTTGAAAAATCATGCTCATTTTTGTGGGGTAGTTGATCCTTGGCTATAGTCCAAATGCCTTTGCTTTAAAGAATATCATGTTCCATGCCCTGTGGTCTTTTAATGTAGAAGCTGCAAGGTCCTGTGTAATCCTGACTGTGGTTCCATGATATTTAAAGTGTTTCTTTCTGGCTGCTTGCAGCACCTTCTCTTTCATCTGGTAATTTTGGAATTTTGCTATTATATTCCTTGGTGTTGTCAATTTGGGATCTCTTTCAGGTGGTGAGCAGTGTATTCTTTCTATGGTTATTTTACCTTCTGTTTCTAGGACTTCCGGGCAGTTTTCCTTTATGATTTCCTGAAAGATACTGTCCAGGCTCTTTTTTTCATCATGATTTTCAGGTAGTCCAATGACTTTTACATTGTCCCTCCTGGATCGATTGTCCAAGTCGGTTGTTTTACCAATGAGGTATTTTAAGTTTTCATCCACTTTTTCATTTTTTTGTTTCTATTTGACTGATTCTTGCTGTCTTATAAAGTCATTAGTTTCCATTTGTAAAATTCTAGTTTTTAACAGATTGTTTTCTTCAGTTAGTTTTTGTACTTCCTTCTTCAATTGGCCGATTGTATTTTTAAGGGATTTGTTTTCTTCAGTGTACTTTTATTTCCAGTTTGCCAATTGTGTTTTTTAGGGACTTGTTTTCTTCAGTGTACTTTTTTTCCAATTGGCCAATTGTATTTTTGAAGGACTCTTCTACCTCTCTCATTAAACTTTTAAAATCCTTCTTGAGATCTTCTAAGAAGGCTTTTTGGTCTTCAGACTAGTTCATATTCCCTTTTGATGTTGCAGATGTGGGTTTGTTGACAATGTTGTCCTTTTCAGAATTTCTGTCTTGATCGCCACTCTTCTCATAATATGAATCTGTGGTACATTTCTTTTTCCTCATGGTTTCTTTATTCCCTGGCCTTTAAAGAGATTGAGCTCTCCTGCTTGGGAACAGAAGGCACTGACCCAAGCTTCTTGTGTTGGTCACTGGCTTTGTGTGCTTAGCCCTCTTATGTTGGCAGTTGGAGGCTGCAAGGTTTTGGAAGCTTACCTCATGTTGGGCTGGAATCAGCAAGGCTGTAACTTTCAGGCAATTCTAGGTTGCCTGCTTTTCCTTTCCTTTAGCTTTCTTCAGCTCCTTTTAGATGGGTGCTGCAGGGTATTTATCTGCCTGGGGCCCCTTGCAATGATTCCTCCCTTGTTTCTGCTAATGCGCTGGGAGATTCCTTTGTGGTAGAGAGCCAAGGCAGCTGGTGGTTTTCTGAGCTGGTTTCCACCAGTTTCCGTGCCCTCACTGAGGCACTTGGAGGTCCAGGTGTTGGTGTTTGCCTGCTCTACCACCTGGGCTTCAGGATCTCCTCCTGGTTGACAGTTGGAGTTGTTGGGTTGGAATCAGCAAGGCTGGGACTTTAGGAAGACTCTAGTTTGTTTTCTTCAGCTCCTTTCAGATGAATGCTGCAGCATGCTTATCCACCTGGGGCCCTTTGTAGTGCGGTTTCCCTTATTTTTGCTGAGGCACTTGGGAGACCCGTTTGCTGGGCTGCTACACTGCTGTTCCCCGTCTTTCTTCTACTTCAGCTGTTCCAGGGTTTTTTTTTCCTAGGGTGATATTTTCTGGATTTTCAGAGGTTGAAAGGGGAGGGTGAGAGTGACTAACTTTTCACTCCGTCATCTTGCCTCCCAGAAGCAGAAGTCGCTAAATTTTCTAGGTCTATAAAAATTATCTTTTCCCTGGATATCAATTGCTAAGCTCGGAAGATATGCTAATGAATCTCTGACCTATAAAGGGTCAGGAGAGCCAGAGAGATGCAAAGCAAGGCAGACTTCATGGCTACCTCCTCTGGAGGATTACAAAGCCATATGTGAATGCTGACCAAGCTCAATATTTAGCTCAATTTAAACAGACAGATATTTATTAACTATCTACCTTATGCAGAAGAAAACATACAAAGTGGCTGTCAGTCCTGTGTGGCCCCCTTTTACTTCTACAGTGATAAAAAAATTGCCCTCATAAGAGAAAGAGGTTACCAAGAATGACTTATTAATAAACATCATACCATCTATAAACATTAACTTAGCAATTGGTATTCTAAAAGTGAGATCTCTGTCCAGTGGACAACAGGTAGATGTACTCTTGGAACAACTGATCATAGCATTCTGATTGACATTTCACCATTTAAAAAAAAGAAGTTTCAGGCAAAGGCAATGTTTGCTCACAGTTCTTCTTTGTGGGAGGGGGGAGAGTAATCTTTTTTTAAAAATATTTTATTTTTCCAAATACATGTAAAAACAATTTTAACATTTTTTAGCTTTTTTGAGTTACAAATTTTCTCCTTCCCTCTAACCCCTCACCCCTCCTTAAGATAGAAAACAATTTGATGTAGGTTATATATTTATAGTCATGCAAAACATATTTCTCAAAGGTTCTCCTTGAAGAGGAGCAGAAGAGTTTAGGGGATGAGGCATTGGATTTGGAATCGTGAATACATAGGTTCATAGTTTACCTTGGACACTTATTTGCTACCTGACTTTGGGCAAGTCATTTACCCTCTCTGTGCCTCAATTTCTTCATCTGTTAAATGAAGGTGTTGGACTCAATTGCTTGTCTCTTTAAGGTCTAAATATGTGATCCTATGAATTCATTTTATGTATCAAATAAGAATATGTCTCCTGTGTCTCTGTTTCTGTCTGTCTCTATAAAAATAAAAGTCTGACAACTTTGACTTGCCTAAGTTTGCCTGGAGCCAAGGGTCAAAACCCAAAGTAGTAGACTCTCTCACAATAGGAATGGCTAGAAATTCAGTTTAAGTTTCTCCATGAGCATCAAGACAATGGGAACTGTGGGTAGCACAGCAATTTCATCTCCTTCTTTATGACTTTAAGATCAGCTATTATAAGAAATTTATGAACAGTTTTACTACCAGCACCAAACCCCTCAAGCATTGATATGGTAGAAAAACCAAAAACAGAACAAGAAAGATCAGTTTTGATTGGAGATTGTTTGGAGAAAAATATGAACAAGCTTTTAAAAACTTGGTGGGTTGCCTAATGCAAGCTCTTTGTCCTGACACTGTCTTGGAAGGCTTTGGAGAAATCTTGTACCTGGTCATCATAAAATGATTGCAATGTCTAGGAGAAAAATATATTAACAGTGAAATTCCTTATCCCATACACAATTTGTAGTCATAGTTTGATACTGAGGAGGGGAAAGGGGAACAAATACTTAATAAGTGCCTATTATGTTCTCCACGGTATGCTAAGTGCCTTATTAATTTTATCTCATTTAATGCTCACAACAACCCTGGGAGGTAGGTGCTATAATTATTCCCATTTTACAGTTAAGAAAACTGAGACAGAAAGAGGTGAAGTGACTTGTCCAGGGTAACACAGCTCGTATGTGTCTGAGACAGAATTTGAACATAAGTCTTCCTGATTCCAAGTCCAACATTGCTGATCTATTCTACTATCCTGCCTTGAGGAGTTTGAAGACTGTAGAAAGAGCCAAATTTTGAACACAAATGGACTACAATATACTGACCTATATTTTGTCTAGTTCCCCTTTGGAGGCTGACGGCTAAATGTGGGTAATTTAGTTTGCATTCTCAGCCACAAAAGACTAATATGGATGCAGAAGCTCTGTACGTAGTTCACATGAGAACAAAGTTTGACTCTCAATGGGATAGAGGCTTCTGTATACTTGAAGAAATGAATCATAGTCCAGTGGATATGTAGGTGACATCCAGATTATTCCACCAGAGAGTTTGCCACAATTTTGTTTCAGTTTTACTTAGGTGACTGGCAAAAAAAAGCAAATGCATTGTAAAGAACTATGAGAAATAACACAAGTGAAGAAACAAGAGAGTAATTCTCAGGGACTCAAGATTAATTTCCTAGGGGATACTTTACTGTTGTTAGAATAATAGAAGTTGGAACTATGCAATGGATTATTGTATTAGAATGTAACTGATTCCACATTTGATTACCAGAAACAGCTGCTATTTCACTTGCTGCTCAGGAAAGAACTACATAGAACTTTGGATATTTTGTCCTAGGATTTGAACAAAACTGATTTTATTGACCTAAGATGGCAGCAGATATCACTAAATGTAATACTGAGATTAGATAAAGGAGTTACAGATATGTGTTCTAAATCACTAAGTAGTGGGGACTTTTCTTGAACATGTCTAGATGACCTAACATGGAGGAACACTGATTCTGGAAAGATGACATCCCATATCCCTCTGCTATAGTTCCTTTTGATTGGCTATGTTGCTGTAATGAGTTATATCTTTAGAACTATCCTATGGGATAGTCTAGCTTTTTTCTTCTCCAGAGAGGGTAAAGTTTCCCTCTAAGTATGGTCCCTATGAACTGAACTGGTAATAGGGTAAGGGCTTCCTTTCTCTTTTTAGGTTCCATGGTTTGGTGTTTCTGTTTCTGTTGTGTTTTCTTTCTTCTCATTTTTAGTTACAGTAGTAATCCTTACTTCAAGTGAGGGTGACCTCGAATCCAGGAGTCCATGTGGGACTAAACTAGCTGCAAAGCACTAAGAAGCCAGAGTGACTAGAACTCAATATGAAGGTAGGTTGGAGTGGATTTGAAACTGGGACCATAATACATAGGAGCTGAGCTAAACTGAAAACATAATCCCCCTCCTCTCCCTAAAGACTAAAGTGATATGGAGGGTTGGCGTTATTTCCCATATGTTGTTGAGTTTGTTTGTATTCTTGTTATTATAACTTGGAAACAGGTATTTATATTAGCTCCTTTTTTTTCTTTTTTCAGCAAAGAACTGAAAACAAAGTGGGTTTCCAACATTTGAGGAACAGCTGAACAAATGATGATATGTGAATGTAATGAAATAATATTGTGTCACAATCAATTTTTGTTTTCTCTCTTAGGTTCATTAAGTATGCTATGCTATTATCTGCAAAAATAATAATCTTGTTCTCTTGTTGCCTATAATTATTTCTTTAATTCCTTGTTTTATATCTTATTCCTATAGTTAGCATTTCTAGCACTATTCTAAGTAGTAATAGTGATAATGGATATCCTTGCTTTATATCTGATCTTATTACAATGGTCTAAAACTTTTCACCATTACATGTAGTTTGCTTTTTTAGTTAGATGCCATTTGCTATAATAAGGAAATTCCATCTATTTCTATGATTTCTAGAATGTTGTATTAGAAGTTAATGTTGGATTTTGTCAAAAGTCTTTTCAGCATCTTTGATATAATCATATTGTTTTATTTGTATATTAATAACTAAATCTATTTCATTTCATATGTGTTAGCATGTTATCTTATTGTTATTTGAAGAAATTTTCTATTGCTTCCATAATTTCTTCTTTTACCCAGCAGTTCTTTAGAACTGTTATTTAATCTCCAATAATTTTTTAACTTTGTCTATGGGGACTTTATATAATACAATTATTACATTGTGAGAAACAAATAATGTGTTCAGTTTTTCTATTTTTTGGCCAGGTCAATTTTTGTAAATGTGCCAGCGTAGCTAAAAAGTAGGTACATTCCTTCTATTCTGATTCAGTGATAACCAGAGATCTATTATCTTTCATTACTCTATGTGTGTATATATGTGTATATGTGTGTGTGTGTGTGTGTGTGCGTGCATATAAAATGTTCTTTAAAGGACTTTTTTAAAGGTCCTTAACTTCCTTCTTGTTCATCTTTTAATTAGATTTGTCAGGGTCTGAAAGGGGTACATTAAGTTCCCTCATTATTATCATTGTAATCCTCCAATTTTTCCTCCAATTTACCTAAATTTTTCTTTATATATTTGGATGCTATTTTATTAGGTGCATATGTAGTAAGTATTCATGTTGATTCCTTATCTATAGTGCCTTTGAGCATAATTAAATTTCCCTATTTATCTCCTTTTGCCTTTTCTAAATTTGCCTTATTTGAAATAATGGTTACTAGCCTTACTTATGTGAAATAGGCTCAAAAGTTTTGCTCCAGCTCCTCATTTAAATCTATTTGAATCTTTCTGTGTAAATTATGTTTTTTTATAAGAATGTTAATTTTGTATATCCTTTGGTTCTTTCCTCATACTTTTTTACTTTTTTTACTCTTACCTTCCTCTTTACATGTAAAAAAAAAGTGGTAGAAGTGTGGAAATTCCCCTGACATTAATGGTCTTCTATGTGAAACAGCCTGTTTTCAATCTGTAGCAACTTTGCTGTTCTCCTTTACCCTCCCGTGATCCCAGATTCTCACTTTTTACTTGTTCTTCCTTTCTTTAAATCATCTCTTCACATTACTACTTCAAACAGTTAAGATTGTTTTGCTTTACATATCCTACCCTCTCTTTTAGACCCCTCCCTACCTCTCCATTTTCCTTGATAACTCATTTCCCTTTTGAGTTTTATGTATTTCGATACTGAGAGCTCTGTGTGCTTGTTTGTGAGTATGTGTGTGGACATGTAATTTTATTCAACCTTCCTTTATCTGTTTCAGATGAAAGTGAGGTGCATGACATACCCATTCCCTGACTCCTTCCTCCATGGTTATGTGCTCTTCATCATAGGCACTTCACCTGTGCAATATAAATTTCTCTCCTGTTCCTCCTTTCTTCCCTAGTGTTTTCCTTGCCTTTATTTTTGTCTTCTCCTAACATCATTAAAATAGAACAAAATCACCCAAAGACCATTTGTCTTTTTAACTTTTTTCTATAATTCTTAAAACTATTATGGTTCTGAGAAGACATTTATGTCTTATCCCTGTGTTAACAAAAATCTTGTATAGAAAAAAAAAGAGAGAAAAGAACAGAAGAAAGCCCAGGGGAAGCACAATCGGTATAGCATTAGAAGTTACATGTTGAATTTAATATATATTTAAAAGGAAATGCAAGCTGTATGCAATAGAGATCTGAGGTTTCATTTACAATCCTATCTTTCTATTCTGCTTCATATATGAAAATGTTTATTTATTTGGTAGTTAAGTTCAGGATAAATATTAAATAAAATTTCAAATTAACAAATAAAATAAAAACAATTTCCCTTTGAAGTTCACTGTTACAACAGTAATAAATCTAGCAGACATGATAAGATGCCAACATGGATAGTATGATCTTCTTCTGGTAAATAAAGCACAGGCAGACGCAATATCCACTTTAGCCATATATCCTTACAAATGATGCATAGCATTGATTCCTAGGCAAAGAATGTAATTATAGGCTATACTGATTTTCTGGCTCCACCATCCACTTGACACAATATTTGAGCTTCCCAAATTCAGGGAATCTCAGAGTTGGAAAGGAACCAATGAGTCCCAGTTATTATCTTGTCTCCCAAACGAATTTACTACATCTTATGTTTCTCATAAGAATTGTAATATTATATATAAACTTTATTAGATTAATATTTTAGGAGAGACAAAGGTTTAAAGTCATTTTAAAACCTTTGAACTGCTCAGTACATTCTATTTACTTTGAAAAATACCTGTCTTAACACTGATGAGTGATTAGTGGAAAGAAAAGAGGACAAAGGATATCAAATTGTTTGAAACCTGAAATGACATTTGTGACTATCACATAGAAGGTAGATGCTACAAATTCCAATGGAGCACAATGTGTTCAAGAAAGAAGGCTAAAAATTATCATAGATTCTTAGGAATATTTCTAGAGCTGGAAGAGACCTCATAATCCATCTATTACAAGCCTCTCTTTTAATGAATGAGAAAACACACCCAGTGATGTTAAGACTTGCTGAAAACCAGGCATGTAACTAGGGTCAGAGGTGGGATTTTAACTCACACTCTCCTGACTCCAAAGCCAGTGTGTTTTCTACTGTACCACACTAAGAATTCTATCTTATATTTGTAAAGCACTTTTCATAGTCAGGAGGATGACTGTGAGATGGATAAGAAGAGCTTCAATAGCCTCATTTTTACAGAAGAGAAAACTGAGGCTCAGAGACTAAGGGATACTCAAAATATTGTATCACTAGAAAGTGGTAAGGCCCAAACTAAGATCTCAGATCTCCATTCTCTCACCCCAGGAGTTACTCTAATTCTGAGTGATTCCACTTCTTTGGCAATGTAAACATGAGCAAGAAATAATGAAAGGAAATTCATTAGAGTGACTGTAAAAGTAATAATCAATAAAGCAAACAGTTAGTGTTTTGTCGGATGAGGACACACAAAATTGCAAAACAGTCATTCTCTTGGAAGGACAATCTTGCAAAGAGAACATACAGAAGTGATGGCCTTGAACTGAATTATCACTGACTGGGGGAAAACAAAGAGCTAGTGAAGCAACATGATGGAGGACAAGGTTGTGCCCTCACCATCCAACAGTGTGGAGACAACACTGCTAATGCATAGAGTTCTATTCATTTTAGGGCTTGAAAGATTTTTAAAAAAAAAACTAGAGCATATTTTAAAAGACCAACGAGAATGAGTGCTTTGAATAATAATGCTTTGTGTTAATGGAAGTACTCCTCCCCACACACATTTCAAAGGATGATTAAGGGACTAGGGGGCTAATTTTAAGAGCAAAAAAAAAATGAAAAGAGCTAGGTATGTGTAGCTCTCTAAATGATGATTGAGATAGAATGTTATTCTAATCACCATCTGGATATGTATGAAGGCCACAATCATCAACAATAAATATTTTAAAGCAGTGAAACTAAGGCATGACTAGAAACAAGGGCATAAAATTGAGCAAAGGAAACTTTAGGTGGGAATCAGGGAACATTTCCTAATGGTAAGAGCTATTACAGTGGGGAAGACTTTCTCTAGGGAAATGCTTAAAGCCCCTGTAGTTAAATCATTTACAAGTAAAGTGAATGAAGAATTAGAAAATAGACTCTAGGGAACAATTCTTTATTTGCAAGGAAATGGGCTAGATGACTCTTTTTTTAATGAGGTAGACTTCTTAATGATTATCTCTGAAGCAATCAGGGTTCAGTGGGAAAAGCACTGGCTCTAGAACCAGAGGACCTATACTCAAATTCTGTCTCTGATGCTTGCTACCTACATGACATTGGGCAAGTCACTTAACTTCACTGGGCTTGGTTTCTTCACCTGTAAAATGGATGGGAGGGGTGCACTACATGGTTTCTGAAATTATTTCCAGCTCTCTAACTGTGATTCGACATGGCTTTGGTTTTAGTCTAGGACCATAATAGTACAAAGGAAAATAGAGGCTGTGAGTTATGTTTATGCAAGTGGGTCCTCCATTTCTGCTCATTGTTCATTTGAAATGGTAGAATTAGGGAGAGATACTCTCCTATCACTGGGTTTTCTGTGGAAATACTTCCTGAGTGAAATTTTTTCCTGGTGAATTGAAGCAAAGCAGTAAATGTAACCCCTTCCCTAGTTTGTTCCTTTGATGCCTACTTCATCAGTGCAGCCAATTAAAAGAGGACACATTGCTTTGCTAAGTACAGAAAGGCCCAGGACAAGAGGGCTGCCAGAGCAAGTTGGGAACAATCACGTTGTATTTTCTGGAAAGGATGGATTTCAAGTCAGGTTTTAAAGAATGAGAGGGAAACAGGACAGGCTGGAGCTAGCTCTAAAGCTAGTCCATTGTTAAATTTTCAGTGTGAGCATTGACACCTCAGAAATCCACAAGGCTTACCAATTAGGGCTTGATTTATTGCTTTACTGATTGTCTAGACTTAAGAAAGTGTTAATATAGATTAAACTTCAAAGTGTGTACTCATCATTTTTTTTGGGGGGGAAGCCATCTATCAATATACTCCACCTGCATTACTCCATAAACATTGCTTAAACTCAGGAGTGCAGAAAAGGAAAGGGTGAAGGGAGTGACAA